GAAATGGCCAATGGCCAATTTGGGAAGAAGCTCAGACAAAGGATTGTGTTTTGTTTTTAAATTATGAGTAAAGAAAAACCCAGGAAGGGACAGGAGTTGTGGATGCTAGCCCAGAGTGTGTGCTGGACTCTCTGCATGACAGAACTCCAAGTAGGATCTGTTTGCTATTTGTGATGCTATTATCAGTGAGCTGGGTTGTCACAGGGCCGCTTGGAAGACCCTGTGCTTTTGCCGCCTGGTAACTCTGAACTCTCAGGCATCTCATGGCAATGTGCTTGCACTCTGTGAGGAGGGGGGACAAGGTGATGGCCGCGCACTTTGCAAAAGCCCTGACTGCTGACCTCTCAGAAGTTGCACTGTGGCAGCTTGTGCAGAGCCTTTACTTCTGGGTTTGGCTTTGGTCATCCGTCAGATTCCTCTCTGATGCCTGCTGGAACTACCTCCGGGGCTCCTGGCAGCCTCTGTAGCCTCAGTAGCCGCTCGTCTAACTCTGCTCTCCCTGCATCCAGTGGTAAAACTCCCTCCGACTTCAGTGGGAGCAGAGTCAGGCCAATGCCACTTTTGAAACCCATGCCCTTCAAAACGGCACTGCTAGATTTCACACGCTTCTCTGCTTTACTTTGAAAGAAATGTCCAAGACACACTGGCCTAGATCCAGGGCTACGGCTGAGCGGCCTCGCAGCTGAGGAGGGGGTGGGCAAAGGTAGCCTGTTATCTCCCCTTGATTAGAGGGTCAGACCCTGACAGCACCCCTATGCTGCTAGAGAAGCACCAGTGCCCAGGAGTTAGGCAGTATCCAGGGGAGAATGTTACTTTATCCATGACACCATTTAACATCTGATTTATATTTTGACAGGGACTCCGTACATCTGAACGTTTTTCTCCAATCTAACATAGCCCTCAAGACAGCAGAAGAGGTTAGTTGTTGTATTTATTCTTGTCACGGTTGGTTCACATTTAATCTGATTGCTTTAACATAGTGCACTTCCCGGTAGAAGTTCAAGGTGTTATTTTTTTCACGATTGTTTTCCTCGCTATTCTTTAACCAATCCTCTTGGACGCGTAAAACTGACATTTCTTCCCTTATCAATGCATAACGGCCCGGGCTCGTTAGTGTAGGGCTGCTCATGGCTGCCGACACTGAGCTACTGGCCAGGTCTACACTATAAACGTACATTGGTATAAGTACGTCGCTGAGGGGTGTGAAAAATCCACCACCCAGCGCGACACAGCTCTACCGACCTAACGCCCCCGTGCAGACAGCGTTGTGTCGATGGGAGAGCTCCTCCCGCCCACATTGTGTTACCTGCACACATTAGGGCACCAGGATAAGGCCTTTGTCTGCAGCCATATTGTAAAGCCTAAGCCTACGGCCTTCGTCTGCAGCCAGATTTAAAGAGCAGCAATTCACATCCTGTCCTAATAGCACCCACTATCACCAGATAAACACAGATCTTAAGATGGTTAAAGGAAACTTGGTTGGATAGCATCCTGTCTGGCAAGAATCCACCTCTCAACCGTTGTGGTTGTGAAATCCTCATTTCTATATTGTTTTGTCACCAGCGCCTCTCATGGAGGTGGCTTCATTATACAGGGGGAGGGATAGCTCAGTGGTTTGAGCATTGGCCTGCTAAACCCCCAGTTGTGAGTTCAATTCTTGAGGGGGCCATTTAGGGATCAGGGGCAAAAATCTGTCAGGGGGGCAGGAGCTGGGCCCAGATTTGTTCAAAAGTTCATCACTGAAGAAGGATCATCCAGTGGTGAGGGCACTAACTTGGAGCTCTGGGTGCTAGTCCCTGCCCTGCTACAGATTTTCTTTGTGACCATAGGCAAGTCACATAGCCGCCTGGTGCCTGAATTCCTCACCTGTAAAATGGGGTAGTAGCACTGCCTCACAGGGGGTGTTTTGTAGGAAAAATAGGTTACAAGCTTGTGAGGTGCCCAGGTGGTCCCTAGGTGGGGATTGTATGATTACCTGAGGTATGTAAAACAGAAAGCTGTCAAGATTGTAGTCTCAGTTCCTATTCCTCTCTGATAGATTTCAGTCTTATTTTGATTGCAAGTTGCGATTGCAGGGGCTCTCTGTATTGTATGTCTCGTACAGCACCAAGCACATAAATACAAATTAATAAGGGTATTTCGTGGTGCTGCACAAAATAACCCCTTAGCGGAAGGGTAGATGTTCATGTTACACAAAGCAGGCCTTTGCTTTATGGTTTGTAACAGAGGAAGAAGGTAGAATCCGGGCACGAATCTAAGTTAGGGGAAGGAAAAGTTCTTGGACTCCGATCTGAATGGGAGACCTTTCTATGCTAGAATCCTTCTCCGTGTCAGGGTTGTGGTTACTCCGCTGCAGACGTTCGTTAGAATTCTTATTTTCTGGGAAGACCAACAATGCATCAGCGTTCCGTTAACATTCTTGATCATCTCAGGGGAACTGCCCGTGGCCCCAGCAGTTTGTCTGAAATGGACGGGCGATGGTATCCACCTGCAGAGCAGAGTTTCGAGTGAACGTGTTGCATAATTTGTAGACATCTGCAAAAGCAGGTGTTAGCCGGTCGGCAGCTTTTCGCGGGTCATGTGACACTGATGTTGCCTCCTGATCGAGGCCGGCAGCCAAGCGCACACAGGTCTGTCACTGGAGGGAAAACAGACGCAGGCAAGGCAACAATCAGGCGTGTTTTGAGTAAGATCTGCATGAAAAAGAGGCTTGCTTCAGTTCTCCTTTTTCACCAGTGCCAGTGGCTGGAGCACATTAATGGCAAACCACAGGGCTGGGAACCCTCTAGATTAGTATTAACATGGGGTTTTAAAGCTACAGTCCAGAGACAGTAGGAACTGCCTGGTCCCAATACTGAACCCTGCAGGGTAACTCCCATCGGGGAAGGGGTGTTGGCAGGGTAGTTCTTGTGGCAGCATTGTCTCCCCAGTTTGTTGCTGTTGCTCCCAGTTCTTGCCAGCTGCTCTGTGCTGACTGTACGTTTGCCAGGGGAATAGGAGAGGGGAAGAGGAGAGTCACCCAGCAGACACCACAGCGACCCTCCGGGCAGGAGGAGGAACTGCAGAGGCATCTCGACTTGGATGCCTGACATTCCAGCTGCCGAATGTGAGAGTGTGGAGCCATGTGCAGCAGCCCTAGAAGTCTATTGACATGTCCAAAAACAAACAAAAAGTGTCCACATGGTGCCATTGAGCGCCCTCTTGCCTCCATTTTATATGGCAGCGACTCCAGCCATTCCAGAGCACAGGTGCAAATAAATGCCCTTGTGTCCCAGCTGGTATTTTTCTCTTCCCCAGGGTGCGCCGATCAAATACCTGGTTTTGGAAGACACTGATGAAATAATAGCCCTTGTGGAAGACGAGATAAAGGGCGAACAGATCCAGGAAGATGAGGATGAAAGTGACAGTAATGACCCGGGTAACGTTGGTGTTTGGAATTCTCCTTTTCACACTCAGTCCCGTGCTAGTTAATTACTAAGGAGAGTTACTCATACAACTAGTGCCTCCTTGCTAGAGACATTCTGAAACATATAGAAGTACTGTAGTCGCATTGGCCTACGTGATCCAAACCGGCTTGGGGCCTTAATTTTTAAGTGTCCAACTCGAGACAGGGCGGGTGCTCGTCACTGTCAGAAAACCAGGCCCCTTTGAGGTATTTCAGGTCAGGCCCCCAAAATCTGGAGCCACTTTTGAAAATATACGCTGCCCTCTTTTGAGTGCCTATGTGTGCTGTGCTCAAATCCCATTTGTCTTACATGCCCGTGTAAGTCTTCCTTTAAAATACATTCCTAGAAAGTTGCTCATGTTTTCCAGTAATTTCACATAAGAGCTAAAGGAAACGGCCAAAATGAAGAAAGAAACAGTTGGTGTGAGTCTGAGGAAAACAAAAATGTGAATGGGATTCCTAAATAAAAGTATTCTTTATTCCAAGGGTTACATCCTCAGCTGGCATAACTCTGCATCTTTCTATTCATTTTGGTGAAGCTCAGAGTTCCTAGCAGAATAGTGTTAAATAGTACACTTCTACCCTGATATAACGCTGTCCTCGGGAGCCAAAAAATCTTACTGTGTTATAGGTGAAACCGCGTTATATCGAACTTGCTTTGATCCGCCAGAGCGCGCAGCCCCGCCCCCCCGGAGCGCTGCTTTACCGCGTTATATCCGAATTCCTGTTATATCGGGATAGAGGTGTATATCAGTAGCAAGTCTTGTCTGCTGCTTATTACACTGATCAGAACAGTCTCCCGCTTGTTCCCCATCTGCCTGTCCTATCCACCTCTTGTTTCTCATCTCATAGTTAGACTGTTAACTCTTTGGGGCGTGGACTGTCTTTGTTGTATGTATGTACAGCATCTAGCACAACGGGGCCCTGATCTTGACTGATCCCTTTAGGTGCTACTGGAATATACATATGCATCATAATAAATTGCTTGGTTTCTTCCTGCTTTTGCGTTTGGTCTTTTCAAACCCTGGCAAACGTTGAGTTCCTGCTGCACCTGTGTGCTCGTGTTTATGTGTACGTTGATTTGCTCTAGACGTTCAAGATGACCAGGTGATGGAAGCGGTTTACAGAGACAGGAAGCGAGAACTCCCTTTGGAACTCATCCCTACCCTGACAGAAGAAACTTTTAATGCTGCTCTGACGGAGACCGCCCACATGGTGGTGCTATTCTATGCCAGTTGTGAGTACAATACACATATCCATATCACGGTGGGTGCACATTTCTTGTAGAGTTTAGTATATTGTTAGAGTGCCTGTATTTATTTAGTTATTTCTATTTAAATAATAGCTGAAAAGATGCCTGTGTGAGGCTCCAGGTGTCCTCACGCACCCTGAACAATACAATTACATCGATTTCTGTAATAGATTAATACTGAACAGAGATAAGCTTTTTATTTTTGAAGGTCTCCATATAAAATACCTAGGTATTTCTTTTGTAGTGACATATACATTCAGTGTAATTCTACCTTCCGCATAGTAATCCTAATGCCAGAACAATTCACTACGTTAAATTGGAGAGCTACTGTCGCTGTCTGTCATGATGGCAAAGCTTGAGACACCGAAGAAGCATGATCTATAGCGGGGTAGGCAACCTATGGCACAGGTGCCGAAGGTGGCACGTGAGCTGATTTTCAGTGGCACTCACACTGCCCCGGTCCTGGCCACCAGTCTGGGGGGCTCTGCATTTTAATTTAATTTTAAATGAAGCTTCTTAAACATTTTAAAAACCTTATTTACTTTACATACAGCAATAGTTTAGTTATATATTATAGACTTATAGAAAGAGACCTTCTAAAAATGTTAAAATGTATTACCGGCACGCGAAACCTTAAATTAGAGTGAATAAATGAAGACTCGGCACACCACTTCTGAAAGGTTGCCGACCCCTGATCTATAGAGAGTAACCCATCCTGTTGACCAGGAGTGACCCCGGCTCTGCCGACAGACAGGCCGTGTGTGATGTAGCGCTATTGACAGTGTCTCTTGTATGTTGCAGGGGAAGCGGTGTCTCTGGCGATGTTGCAATCGTATGTAGAGGTGGCCATTGCGTTAAAAGGTACAGTGCCAAAGCTCCGTTGCATTGTTAAAAAGCAGGCGATGTTCATACCCTCTACCACGTCCTCGTTTTACAAAGGAGGAAGTTTAACTGATGTGTCTATACATAGGCGCCGATTCTGTGGGTGCTCCAGGGCTGGAGCATCCACATGGGAAAAAATGGTGGGTGCTGAGCACCCGCCAGCAGTCCCCCTGGAGCTCCTCCCCCTCCCCGCAGCACCTCCCACCTGCCGGCGGGCCCCACCCATGAGCACCTGCCCCTTCCTCCCAGCGCCTCCCGCCCACCGCAATCAGCAGTTCTGCGGCGTGCAGGATGCGCTGGGAGGGAGGGGAAGGAGTGAGATTGGGGTGTGCTCAAGGGAGGGGGTGATATGGGGTGGGAAGAGGTGGGGCGGTGGTGGGAAGGGGCGGGGGTGGGGCCTTGCGGGAAGGGATGGAGTGGGGGCAGGGCCTGGGCCAGAGCACCCCCTGGCACATTAGAAAGTCGGCGCCGCTGTGTATATGTACAGTGGGTGAAATCCTGGCCAAACTCGCCTTGAGTGCTATGGGGAGAGGATTTCATCCAGGATATATACACGCACATACAGACACCCGAGGGCTGCTCTAACTTCTGCAGGCTTGTAATAGCCCCTTAGAATACATCTACACTGCAATAAAAGACCTGGCCTGGGTCAGCTGACTCAGGCTTGCAGGTCTCGGGCTGTGGGGCTATAAAATTGCAGTGTAGACGTTTGGGCTTGGTCTGGAGCCTGGGCTCACAGACTCTGCGAGGGGGGGGAGGATCTCAGAGCCTGGGCTCTCCCCCGAACCTGAACGTCTACACTGCAATTTTATAGCCCCACGAGCCTGATTCAGCGGACCCGGGCTTTGAGACTCGGTGCCGCGGGTTTTTTATTGCCGTGTGGACATACCCTTAGGGGCCATTCTATTGCGAGGATCACTGGAGCTCAGTATTATCCAGACCCGCCCCCAGAATGTCCCCTCCAGTTCCTGACACACCCTCCCTGTACTGGGAGAGCAGCCCAGGAGGGACTAGCATAGAGCAACGCTGGAGGGAATCCCCCGCTGCTGACCGAGGGAGGTGTAAAGTCCTTTTGTGCCACTCTGGGACCTTCACAGGACTGAGAATCTGACCCATAGAGTCAAATTCTGTTTTCTGTTACATTGGTGTAAATCAGTTACTCCATTGACTGCACTGGAGTTATTCCGGACGGAGTAAATGAGAGCAGAAAATGGGTTGCAAGTGGGCATGAATGTGGACAAGTCCAGTCTGAAATATAAATAGCAGCAGGTGTCAAAATATGGTCTTAAGAGCAAGGAACGTGCTAACATCAGGGACTACTCTTATTTGGTATTTGCATTATCGACGCTCCTCTGAGCCCCACGCAGGGATCAGGGCCCCATGTGCTAGGTGCGGTACAGACGTATAAGAAAATGACCGTTCCTGGGCCAAGGAGCACGAGGCTCGTGTGTGAGTTGCTTGCAGTGTGAGGGGTAAACGAATCACTTCCTGGAAACAAGAACGAAAGCCGTGTACGAGATGGGGAAAGTCACCCCTAGGCACTAACAGTCGGTAGCTACAATAAGGAGCACGTAGGCGTGCGCAGGGGGTGTGCCTGGGCACACCCTAATGCAGGGCAGGCACAGCTGTGTGGGGGCGAGGCTATGTGCTCCCGCGGGGCAGCATGTATGGCGCCGTGCTGAGCCAGACACTGCTAGGAGCCTCCCTCATGGTTGAGGGGGGGGGTTGGAAGTGGCGGGGGGCAGTTGGGGGACAGGGAGCAGGGTGGGTTGGGCTAGGGGGTGCGGTGCTCTCACCTCGGGGACAGCTCCCCCGTCCCCAGCATCCCTGCGTGCAGGGGAGAGTCTCGGCAGAGGCAGGGGGAACTCTGTACGCTGCCTCTCTCCCCCCTCCCAATGCTGACCTGGTTCCCAGCCCATTGGCCAGGAACCCCGGCCAATGGGAGCTGTGGGGGGGCGGTGCCAGAGCTGCCTGACCACGCCTCCCCTGCAGGGAGGGGGAGGCAGCTGCAGGCAGAGAGAGCCTCAGGCTATTCTTCAGGGGGACAAGGAGCCCAGGGCAGCCTGGGGGGTTAGCGGGGGTCTGGCACTGGCAGCAGCAAGTGACCTGGCCCCAGCCCGCTCTGCTCCACCCCACTGACTCCCAGCATTGCTCAGTGGTGGGGGTTTGGGGGAGGGGGTGGGGCATGCTGGGGCCGGGTTGCTCGCTGGTGCCAGGCTCCCCGCTAAGCCCCCAGGCTGCCCTGGACCCTGTGTCCCCCTGAAGCACAAGGCCCCCCAAAGCACGGGGTCCAGGGCGGTTGCCCCGATCCGTCCTATGGTTGGGACAGCTCTGCTTGGGCACCACCAAAAATCATACAAACCTGCCACCCCTGATTGGATAGGGGGTGGGATTATGGGGTGGTGGATAGGGGCGGGGCTCTCTGGAGGGGGCGGTCAGGGAGCAGGGGGAGTTGGATGGGGTATGGGAGTCCCGGGGTCTGTCAGGAGGCGGGGGGTGGATAGGGGTCAGGGCAGTCAGGGGACAGGGAGCAAGGAGGGTCGTGGGGGGGGTCTTTGGAGGCGGTGGTCAGGGGACAAGGAGCTGGGGGCGTTGGATGAGTCAGGAGTTCTGGGGGGGCTGTCAGGAGGCAGGGGTGTGGAGAGGGGGTGGGGGAGGCAGGGAGCAGGGGGGGTCTTGGGGGGGTCTTTGGTCAAGGAGCTGGGGGGAGTTGGATGAGTCAGGAGTTCTGGGGGGGCTGTCAGGAGGCAGGGGTGTGGAGAGGGGGTGGGGGAGGCAGGGAGCAGGGGGGTTGTATGGGTCAGGAGTTCTGGGGGGGCT